CCCCTGGCACAGCTGGAGGCCGTTCCCTCTCCTCCTGTCCCTTGTTCCCTGGCAGCAGAGCCCGACCCCCCTCAGCTCCAACATCTTTCTCCCAACCTGGGGCAGTTCCAAACCACACAACAGACCCCCCAGGACAAGGCAACGTTTCTTCAATCTGGACTTTTCCTCCACACCTGTTTTGGCTTAATAAAACCCAACAGCTCCTCCATACTTCTCTCTGCCCTTCCCAAAGGCACCTGTGTCTGCCACTGCTTTCCATGGGGATCCCAAAATGGATAATGGGACCTCTAAGGACCAACCAGGTGGTGACGACCCCGGGAGCCCCCACCTTCCCCTGCCCTGAGAGGGGGGAGAATCTGAGTCCCTCTCTAGCTGTGAGGTCAAAGGTTGGACTTGATGATCTTGGAGGTCTTTTCCAGCCTTAAGGACTCTGGGATCGTGGGAGTGTGATAAACTGAGGAAATGATTCGAGCTAATTAAGAGAAAACAGTGTAAGGTCAATATGACCTGGAGAGAAAAGAAAAACAAGTCGTAAAACTTAACTGGGCCCCTATAAAGGGATAAAACAAGTTACCTCCCTTTTACCTTGTGTAGGATTTATAATGAGAGAATTTTGTTTAGTTAGCTAGATAATAGCACCTCTCTTAAAATTTATAACTTTGTATAGATAACAAGCGAACATCTGCTGAAAGTCTGATTTAACAATATATTATGGATGCTTACAGATAACATTCTTGTTAAGAAATATCTGTGGAATGTCTGACCTAACAATGTGTAATGTTTATACTCACGTACCTAACAATGTGTAATGTTTATACTCACGTATAATGAATATTCATGTAGTAGCTGGAAATAAATGTAGAACAAATGTCTTCTTTGGGCGTGACGGGCTTTGGGAGTTGTTGGACCCCTTCCCTGATCACCCAGCGCTGAATTTGCTTTTATCATATAATAAATTCTGATTGGAAATTGCCCGACTGGGTTTCTATTTCTCACAGGAGGGAGAGGGGCAGCCTGTGCCCTCACCACTGGGAGGAAACCTTTCCTTCTGGCAGCCTTCCCCTGTTCTGCTCCTGCTGTGTCTGTGACAGCTCCTCCTGCCTGTTCTGGCCCAGAGTGAAGCCCAGACCAAACCCCTTTTGAAGCAGCACCATCTGCTTAAAACTGGCAATCAAACTGGGTTACCTGCTGCTTGAGTCAAAAACCATCAGGGGCAGTGGCTGAAAACCCCACTCTGCACTTCTGCCTCAGTTTCCCATCAGAAGCTGCTCCAAAGGAATGTTCCCCTCTGCTTGGGTTTGTTTGGGTTTGTTTTACTCTGTCCTGTCTGAGAACATTCATCAGTAACACTGTCAAGCTGTTAAGAGAGAGTTTCACAACTCCCTTCACACTCTGTGTCCTTGTGATTGAGAGAGAAAAGAAAAAAGGAGCAGCTTTTACCAGAGCTCCATTCAGTGCTGGACATTCAAAAAATGAGTTTAACCCCCCTGTACTGAGAAGGTCTTTCCTTTTGCTCTCAGTTTTACATGTACAGCAAACCCTGCCTGTGCAGGGCGACCATCAGAGCTCTGTCCCTAAATCAGAAGGGACTAAACCCTTTATCTGCACGAGATTCTGCACTAGAGGAAGTTCTTTTCCATCCCCCATGCAGACCCTCCACTCCAGACACATCTGTTGAGTGAGGGGTTCTCTCTCCTAATCCCAGCTGCCCATGGGCATTGACACCTCCTGGGCTCTGAATGGACAAACCAAACCTGTTCCCTTGACAGCTCCCAAACCCCAGGGATGGCCTCAGGAACACCTGATTTGCTCCACTGCTTTCAAAGAGAGGTTTGAAAAGTAGTTCAGGTGTGAAGTGTTCCAGACACACCCAGGGGAACACAAAAGTCACCATGTGAGCAATAAAAGCTGCCAGGTCCAGGTGCCCAGGCAGGGACTGCTCTGAGCAGGAGCTGCTTGACCAACCCTGAGCCCAAAGCAGAGCAAAGAGCAGCAGCCCTGCGTGTTCAGGGCTCCCTGGAGGGAACAGGGAGAGAGGAGAGGAAGGGGACAACCAGGGGTGGGAGGGCAGCCCCTGGAGCTGTTCCAGCCTCTCAAAGACCTGGAAAAACTGTAGAAGAGGAGCAGAGTAGAGACACTGTGAACATTCTGCCTAAACAAGAGTTGATCTGCCACCACTCATGGCCTCAGGCAGCTCCTGAGGTGTCTGGCCAGGTTCTGTTATCCCAAACTGCAGTGCTGCCCAATTTGGTGGGTTTACACAGATCCAAAGCAGCTCCTCTGTCAGGAAGGAATTCCCAGGGGCTGGAGGATCACCTCTCCCCAGCCAACACCTGCCCTGCACCTCATGTTTGCAGAGCTCTAAAGTCTTCACAGCCTCTTTTTAAATATTTTCTAATAAATCAAGGACTACAAGACCTGTCCTCACCCTTGGCCTCCCTAAACCCCTGCACAAATGAGAGAGGGAAGGGGGGAAACTCTGCCTTTCCTCTCACCCTTTCCTTACAGGGTGGAAGGGTCTCGTTTCATGGGATCACAGCAGGGTTTGGGCTGGAAGGGGACCCCGGAGATCTCCTGTTCCCTGCACACCCAGAACTAACCCGCTCCTTTCTCTACATTTTTTGCACCGTGTTTTCCCTGGTGACAAAGTGCTGCTGTTTAACTGCCCCCAGCCCCCAGCTGTGCTCACCTTCCCACTTCCTGACGAAGGGCCCCGACAGGATCCTCATGAACCCTGCCAGGCAGACGAGCTGCACGGAGAACTCCCGCAGCACTTCATCGACGGCGCCGTCGAAGTCGGCGCGGCTGGGGAAGGCCGTGTGCTCGATCACCTGCAACCAAGCACAGGGACTGGGCACGGGCAGCTCCAGCAGCAGGAGCAGCTCCTGGAGGCACAAACGTTCCCTCTTTGCTCCCAGCCACGGGAGGGACCCTCGGAAGGAAGAGGAGCTGGGTGTGGGCAGGCCCAGGGCAGCGGCCCCGGCGCTCCGCAGAGCTCAGCCCACCCGAGGCCTCTGGGGGCTTTGAACCTTGGCAAAAATGGTACCACAAAACCTTGAGAAAAAGGCCAATGCCAAACTCCTAAAGCAGCCCCCAGTGCAGACCCAGGGAATCAGAGTCCTGGCAGGGACTGTACAGCTGGGTTAGGGTTGGGAGGGACCCCAAAGCCCATCCAGTGCCACCCCTGCCGTGGGCAGGGACACCTTCCACCAGCCCAGG